CTGAGGCTCAGAAATGATGGAAAAAGTCCATTAAAGTGATCAATCTGGACCCTCCTCTGTGGACTTGAAGGACCTGGACCTCTGGAACATTCACAGTCTGAAGGTAGAACTCTGGTCAGTAGATAAAGGTTCTGCAGAATCAGAACCAGGTGTTCTGAGGAGGTTCTGGGGGATCTAATGGGTGTTTGATGGACAGTAACAGACTCTTCAGCGACATGCAGCTGATTACTGAAGGCCATCAGATGTCGTGTTCAGCAGCTGGAGGTCTGACTAACAGTGTCTGATTCTTTGTTAACCAATAATGTGGAACCATCTAAATAAACTGATCTGTTGTCTTCTGCAGACTTTCATGTGTCTGATGGTCCAACGAGCTCACAGATTAAACCTAGAGGTCAGTGGTTCCTGTGGACCAGGCCTCGATGGTCCTCCTGACCTGCTGCTCTTCTCCAGGTGCTGACGATGTGTTCAGGTCTCTGTTCAATCAGAACCGAAGCAGCTCCAACTGACGCTGCTTCACAGACATAATGTGTAGGAATCCCACCACAGCGCCGGATCTGAGCATGAATACGTGTTCTGAATGTCTTCCACTGTGAGGGCAGAACCAGGACTGTAACTGTGAGTGGCAGCAGTGCAGAGACGCTGATCTACCTTCACCTGCTTCACCGTGTGTTTTAACTCATCCTCATGTTTTATATCCGTCTACCTGAGGATGGTCAATGTCAGGCTGGAACACCTTCTGAAGACCACTTTAAAACTTCTAAATGTTAAACATGCTGCTGCTACGTTTTCAACCAACATTAATGTATGTTTTTAAAAATTATTATTATTTCTGGCCTTTTTGCCTTCATTAGTCAGGACAGTGAGAGAGCCAGACAGGAAGTGTGGAAAAGAATCTGCAGCAAATGGTCCTGAGCGGGACTCGAACCCACGACCCCTGGGTCAGGGACGACAGTCCTGTTCATGGTCAACCAGGTGAGCTGACACTGATCTTTGAAATACAGTCACTGTATCACAAAAACAGAAACAAATGCAAATATGTACGTTTCTTTTTCTGTTAATTTTCTGTCTCTGTGTGGTGGTTTTGCGTGTCTTTGTGGTGGTTTTGCGTCTCTGTGTGGTGGTTTTGCGTCTCTTTGTGGTGGTTTTGCGTCTCT